GAGGGGGGAGGGAGGGAGAGAGAGAGAGATTGTAACACCCAAATACACAGAAAGCAACATTCTCAGCCTCGGCCACCTTAACATGGGTGGACTTCAATTCCCAGAATTCCCCAGCCAGCTATTTTTTTTTTCCCTCACTTTGCTGAAGTCGAAGATCTATTATGTCTATCGCATTCCCACTGTCTATTAAGAAAGTTATTTATTTATTAAGAGTTGCAAAAAAAAGAAAAGAAAAATGGGGGAGGGGGGGAAGGCAGCACGGACACATCTGTTCCAATATTTGAGGGGTCAACCTATTCCCCAAAGCACCAGACGGGAGGACAAGACGCAACAGACGGAAAATAACCAAGGAGGGAAACAATCTGGCACTGAAGAAAAATTTCTTGACGATTAGCACAATTAAACAGCGGAACAGCTTGCCACCCAGAAGCTGCGGCTGGTCCATCACTGGTGGTTTTTAAGAAGAACATGGACAACCATTGTTGAAGCGATAGTCTCCTCCTTCCAACTGTTATTCCTCCTCCTCCTCCTCCTCCTCCTCTTATACTAATACTTTTTAACAAGAGATTGGGGGTTGGACTAGAAGATCTCCAAGGTGCCTTCCAACTCTATTATCCTTTGGTCCTATGTTCTACGTCCATGCTGAACGCTGGTAAACCTTTGCTGGCTGGGGGATTCTGGGAGTTGAAGTCCACCCATCTTAAAGTGGCTCAGGTTGAGAAGCCCTGGCCCAGAGCGAGACAGGCACGCAAGGGTCCCAAAATAGCCCCGGCCCCACCACTGACCTTATCCTCTTCCCGAACCACGTACTGCGCCACCTTGAAGGAGCTGAGGTATTCGTTCATGTTCTGCACGTCGGCGTCGTCGGTGGCGTCCTGGTTACGGTCCAGGAGCCGGGCAATGGCTTCATTATCGTAGTGGATGACGCTGCTGTCTTCTTCTTTATTCTCACCTGGAACAGGGGTGGGCAGGATAAGATATCAGGGTTCATGCGATGACATTCGGTCAGTAAACAGGAGGAGATGACGAGAGTTCCGGTTTGCAGCGCTTCGGGGCAGGCGGGAATCCGCGATCGTGCGCGGTTTTTGCCTGCGCTTGCCGCTGGGGTGCCCTGAGCCATCCGGCTTCAGGGCTAAGCCACGAGGAGATGAGGAGAACTGGATTTCCCTGTGAATCTGCCCAGAACGGTTAATAGGTACAGGTAAGTCCTTTACTTACAAAATGGTCATTTAGTGACCATTCAGAGAGAGCAACAGCACTTTAAAAAGTGACTTAAGGACCATTTCTCACATTTACGACTGTTGAAGCATCCCCATGGTCGTGATCCGAAATTGTGGCAACTGACTTATATTTATGACGGTTGCAGTGCGATTCCCCTTTTGCGACCCCCTTCCGACAAGCAACAGGGGGAGCCAGGTTCACTTAACAATTTTTGTTACAAACTTAAGAACTGCAGTGATTCCTTTAAACACTTAGCAAATGTCTCGTTTAGCCACGGAAAATTTTGGGCTCAACAGTGGTTGTAAGTCGAGGACTACTGGTACTAAGTCCACTGCTGTGGATTCCCGGGAGAAGAATTCTCGTTCTTGTTATTCGTTTATTAAAAATATTGCTAAGTTGCCCCGGTCCAAAGCGACTCTTGGTGAATTACAAGCGCAGGCACGGATTAAAGACTCCACGGAAGCGGCAGCACAACCACAAGGACTAAAACCACACAACCTGGGAGAGTTTTTATCCAGCCCAGAAGGTAACCAGGACTTTGGGGGGCAAAGTTGGAGCTAATAAAGAGACTCCTAATGATTATCTGACTGTGTTGCCTTTGTGCCACGCCCCTTTGGGTCGTCACAAAATCTGGGCCAAGATGACATATCCAATAACACTATTCTTTTGAGGAATCTACCCGCCTCAGCGTTTTGCTTGCCATGGGTCTATCACTTGGAACCCTGGAAGTTAGATTACTGCAAATAAATCTCCTGCTTGGAGGGTTCCCCCCTTCATAGTAGCCTCCCTCCGCCCCCGGGTCTGGTCTCTCACCCTCATTTTCATCTTTGAAGAGTTCCTCCGTGCCAAATTTGAGGATGTCGTCCAGCTCCTGCTTGGACATGCTCCCTGATTTGGAGCCCAGCCCTGGGCGGACCACCAGGTGAGTCAGCATCATCTTGCGTTTGGCCACCTGGGTAATCCGCTCCTCCACGGAGGCCCGTGTGACAAAGCGGTAGATCATCACTTTGTTTGCCTGGCCGATTCGATGAGCCCTGCTGAAGGCCTGAGGGAGGAAAACAACGCCAAATTATGTACTTACAGTATGTACTGGATTTTGGTTTTAGCTCGCCTTTATTATTGTTTGCAAATAACTCGAGGGGGCAAACATACCTGTGGTTCCTTCCTCCTCCTATTTTCCCCACAACAACCCTGTGAGGTGAGCTGGACAGAGAGAGAACGATTCCCCCAAAGTCAACCAGCAGCTTTCATGCCCAAGGCAGGACTAGAACTAATGGACACATGATTGCAAGGCCATTACGTTAACCTCTAGGCCAAACTGGTTTTATTCATATTCATTAATCTATGTATCTATTCATCCATCCAAGTATCTCTCTCTCTCTCTCTCTCTCTATCTATCCATCCATCCAAGTATCTATCTACCTACCTACCTACTCACCCATCCATCTACAGTATCCATCCATCCATCCATCCATCCATAGTATGTTTGTCTGTCTGTCTGTCTATCCATCCATCCATCCATCCATCCACCCATCCATCCATCTATCTCTATCCATTATGTATCTATCCATCTACCTATCCATCTACCTATCCATCTACCTATCTTTCTATCCGTCTATCCATCTATCTATCTATCTATCTATCTATCTATCTATCTATCTATCTATCTATCTATCTATCTATCTATCTATCTATCTATCCATCCATCCATCCAAGTATCTACCTACCTACCTACCTACCCACCCATCCATCTACAGTATCCATCCATCCATCCATCCATTCATCCATCCATCCATTGTCTGTCTGTCTGTCTGTCTATCTATTCATCCATCCTTCTCTCTCTCCTATCTGTCTACTATATCTATTCTCTCTCAGTCTATCTTTCCACTGCACATCTATCTCATCTATCTATATATCATCTCTCTCTTAGGGTATCTACCTGTCTATCACCTGTCTATCCTATCTGATCTATCTAATCTATCTACCTACCATATCCACCCATTCATCCACCTACCTACCTACGTATCAAATGTATTGGCTGTCCATCACGTAACTCTGGGCGGCTTACGGAATGTCCGCACATTCATATCAATATGAAATGAATCAACGGTGCATGGAATGGAGGGACAATGAATTTGGGCTTTCCAACATAGTCGGGGATTAAAGACACTAACGAAAGGCAGAGAGAAGTTAAGAGAGCGTCCAACCAAGGCTTATGACACCTCCACTCATCTCTTAATCCTAATCCTAAACAAAAAGCAATGGATGGACTGTCTTGCTTTGGATGAGCGGGGCTGCTTGCGAAGGGCCAGAGGGCTGATCCCCTAAAAGGATCCCTCCTAATGTTTGCTGTGTCTCCCTAACAGCTTAGGATACTTACCTGGATATCATTATGGGGATTCCAGTCGGAATCGAAGATGATCACTGTATCTGCCGTGGCCAAATTGATCCCTAAGCCACCTGCTCGTGTCGAGAGCAGGAAGCAGAACTGCTGGGCTCCAGGGGCTGGAAAGGAAAAGTTTGGTGAGTAACAGAGGAGAAAAAAAAAAAAGACAAAATACAAGATGAAATATTGAATATTCGGAATGCTGGCTGGAAAATCCTGGCTGGTAACTGCTTGCTTGCAGCAACCGAGAAGATGGCAGGAGTTTCAAAACGGAAAGCTCACCTCCTCTCTCTCTCCGTATAATCATTTTGTACTCACCATTAAACCTATCTATGGCTTCCTGGCGCAAGGCTCCAGTAATGCCGCCGTCTATCCGTTCGTACTTGTAGCCCTCATAGTCAAGGAAGTCTTCAAGCAGGTCCAGCATTTTGGTCATCTGGGGGAGAGAAGAAAAAAAAAGACCCCCGCCCCTCCATCAGCGAAGAAGGCAGGTTGAAGCTTCACGGTCATCAGAATACGGCCCGCTGGCTTCTCAAAAGAGTCGAAACATTTCCAGAAAAATTAAAGCACCGCTTGCTCCTCAACTTGTTTATTGGCCGCTCCAAGTTGCAAGACAGACACAGACTTCGGAGGATAATCCGGACTGCAGAAAAAATACAATGGCTACCAACCTGCCTTCCACAGAGGACCTGTTATACTGCACGAGTCAAAAAGAGGGCTGTGAAAATATCCACAGACCCCTCACATCCTGGACATAAAAGTGTTTCAACTCCTTCCCTCAAAATGACGCTATAGAGCCCTGCACAGCAGAACAACTAGACACAAGGGGAGTTTCTTCCCCCAAACGCCATCACTCTGCTAAACAAATATTTCCCTCAACACTGTCCAACTATTGACTAAGTCTGCACCACGATTGCTACTACTGTTAATCCTCCCACCCAGAATAAGCACCCACTTAACCAATGCAAGAGCCGAAAATCCAAGATTAATCAGAACGGAGCATGAATACATTCAAGGGCAATTCAGAATCACCCTGGCCACTTCAGGCTAGACTAGAGCGTATTTCTTGATAAATTTTGCAAAATTCTGAGATGTTTCTGCAGTTCCCACTGGAAGCAGGAAGAGGAACGGACGTATCCGTGAACTGCCCTTGCAATATATATACTTCTCTGCAATTCTCCCAGGAAGGCAGGTCACCAGGAAACGTCCATCAGTAGAGTCGGCAGCACTTGACGAATACAAATAATCGTTTCCAGAGATAATGAACCTGACAGGGTTACCCCTCTGGTCTCTTCCTGACAACCTCTCTCCGAAATGAGTTCATCACCTCATAGATCCTAGCTGCCATCGGGAAACCAAAAGGAGAAGCTGTCAACCAAGCGGATTAATAGGTCTACTTGGAAAATACTTAGAAGGTGGAGGTAAAAGGCAGAATATATACATATGTGTGTATGTGTGTGTGTGTGTTTTCTTAAGTTTTCGCGGGTACTTACATGTATGGTATTCAGCTTTGTTCGGGTATTTTCC